CCGCCCCTCCCCAGCTCCCGGCTGGGAAATGGGGCCACGACTGGCACTGCCCTTCTTTACTACTTCTTGCTGCTCTACAACTGCCTTTTTTATTTCTCCAAAGGGGCCAAGAATGTTAAAACCATGATAAACCAGGACAGAAGATGTCTTCTTATATTATTACTCAAAAATTTCTTTTTTTTGGCTTAGCTACCTTAGGTTGTAATTTTTAATTTTACTTTTTAAGCACTCCTAAAATGAAAGATAGGCACATTGGTATTTAAGTGTGATTTGCAGCTGCATATTTTCATTGCAATAAAGGTTATATATATGAACTTGGTGAGTGGTCTGGACATAGTCATCTATCCCAAAAAAGTCTATCTGATTTTAATTCTCTTAAAAGATTATTTAACCAGAAGTGCATTTCAAGCTATAAATAAGGCTAAGTGAACCAAGCAACAGCTGCTGAGGAAGTTAACGTGTCTCACCTATATGTTGTAATATACTGCTGAAAAACCAACTAACAAAACACACAGAAGCTGGATACAAAGGATAAAGTAAAATTGGTTTTACATATAAAAAAGAAATTTATGTAACACCACCACTGTATTTGCGTATGTACTAGATAACAAATATAGCACACAAGCTACGTGTGAGTAAAACTTAGACATCTTTTTCATGCTGAACATTGTTAAAATGATTGCCCCAAACCAAGGCCAGAAACCAGACTGTAACCTCACTGATTATTCCAGCACTTTCAGACGTGTATATTGTGTTGATACATAATTTTGCTTACCTGTAAATGACCCTGATTCTTTCTTCCTTCCCTGGTAAAAAATCTACTTCTTATGCAAATACATTTCAATCAGGGTTGTCGTGTCCTAGTCTTAAGCGTATACAACCTTTTCATTATTATGGGATAATTACTGAAAACTCAACAAAATTCACTGCTACCACACCCCGAACAATAGAGTTCCGTTCATACTCCGAGATGGCAGTACGGCAGTTATTTCTTGTTCTCTCATTTACCTACAGCAGGTCAAAATCTTGGCACAGAGTCCCAGGAAAAGAGAATTTGCTGGGGTTTTTTTGTTTTGTTTTTGTTTTTTTTTCTGCAGATTCTATGTATTTACTAGCAACACCCACGGGAGTTACATATTTGTATTTCCACTGCTAAAATGGCAACTGTCCAGTCAAGTATTAAGCTATTTCATCCTTTGCTAAGAGGACAATCCAGTGACTTTTGAAAAGTTGAGTAACTTTTAATTTTTTTATTTTTTTACTTTGCTTGATAAATTCTAGTTTTATGACCACTGCCTGCAGTTCAGCTCTGTGGAGCAGCATGGGCAACAGACTTCCCAGCAAAGCTCCAACATATTCTTGTATCAAAAAGTTACCCAAATAAAGCAGTCAAAAACAACTGGAGTAATTTGGTATTTTTCTAAGAAATATATAAGGCTCTTTGAAGGTGTATTTTTAAAGAAAAAAAAAGTATTAATTAAATTTAGCTTTATTACTAGTCATCTCTGTTCCACTTGCACCACAGTTACTTCTTTTTCTGTTGCAGCTGAAATAAGAACTTGTAAAATTAAAGAAGGTTCCTCCCTTCAATACGTGCCAGTACTTTTTTAAACCTCAAAATATAGCCAAATTTTTTGCTGTCACAAAATGCGGAGTCATATCTATGTCTAGTTTTATTTAGCAAGATACATAGCCATATCAAAATGCAACAGAGAATTCCCATATTAATAACACAAATCTGCCTTGGTTTGGAAAAAAAAATTGCACATACTGTTTTACCCCAAAAGCAGCTGCATAATTAAAATAATATACGTTTGATTTTAATAGAAAAATAAAATATAATGAAGATTCTAGATTTCAGTTTCAGAAACAGTTAAACTAGCTTAAAAGTCATATTTCAGTTAATTATAGATTTCTTACTCACTAAAACTTAAAGATACATTAACTGATTTTTTTTTTTTTTTTGCTAAATGTTGACTCCAGTGAACAGCTCTCTAAGATCTGGCATATTGATTTCTTGTTGTGAAGTGAGCTGTTCAAGCTCCATTTAAGATTTTCATCTTGCATGTAGCCCTGAGCACATCATAGCACCATAAATTAGTTAAATTGCACATTTATCACAAATGTTATTTTAAGATACTGCGTAAATGTGATGGCTGGAAGATATACAGTATGCTGCAACAAGCCACTACTTGGGTGGGGTTAGACCAGGGTCACCTTTATACACCTGTGATTTAAAGCTCTTCCCACCCCATCACAATTTCATTTTAAAACTATTTCTTGAGGCATTTTGTTTTCTCTCTCACTTGATCTGCATATTTCTAAATAAAATATCAAATGCAAAGCAAAAGTCAGAACTCGGATGCATGTTTTAAAATCCTGCATCCATACCTTCATGTTTGTCTAATAGGAAAAAAATTATCTTAACACAGCTAGGTTGGTGATTTGGTTAGCACTAATAGTTACCATGCCAATATACATATCAGTGTATGGATGAAAGGAACATTATTCTAGTTCACTGATTCTCTAAATTCTTTATAATGTGAAATCACATTGGTATGCCAGTCCTGGAGGTTCTGAAATGCAAGCTGAACTTTATTTTAATAAATTTGGGATATGCAGATCCTGACTAGCCATTCATTTGCAAAGTTTCAAGCATATTTAAAAAATGTATTAAAAAGTGATTTCTGGTGCACACTGACAGATATGGCTGTTCCCTGAATGCTCACCTGGTGCAGCTCCTCACTGCACGTTCAGACCTAAATAGTCAGGCCCAGGAACTTTTACCAGGTTAGATGCAGTCACAGTAGTGGCACTGGGTGTTTGCAATCACCAACCCCTCATCTGTATTTTAAGAATAAGTAGAAGAAACACTGCAAAGGACTCTGTAGTCTCTTGCTGTTACTCCCTCCATGTCCCAGATAACAGTATTGCATACACAGCTTTTAGCATTACTATTATAAGTCAATGGTGCATCTTAAAAATACATTGATTGACAATATATGCAATGATCTGCCAGTCTCCTTATGTGTGAATTTCTCATTTGCAACCAAATACTATATTTAAGCTGTTATAATTTTCAGAGGAATTCTCTGCTGTAGAGGTAAAAAGTTTGGCTGCATTTAGACTGAAATCATTTATTTGAAAAAAAGCGTGGACAGCCACCCAGGAGGCTTCGAGAAAGATTTCAGCTAGCCAGGTTGCCTCTCCTAAGTGAGGAGGACTCCTGGGATGGTAGAGTCAACCAGTAAAATGGCATGCTGCAATTTTATTGCTGGAATTTGAGCTGAGGCCATAAACACTGACACACAAATGACCTTAAAATCGGATACAACTGTGAGACAAAAGAGGAGGAAAAAACCCAGAGCCCTGATCATTAATCCCCTTCACTAGGTCTGCATAGCAGTACTTGCCATAGAACGCACAGAACACTCCCGACGCATTTTTGAAGACATGCTACTGGCCTTTACAATTACAGAGAGACAGAAAGAACGATGGAAAGAGAAAGAAAGATGGAAAGGCAGAACCAAAGATTTAATTAAGTTGCCTACTGGAAGACAGTGGATTTTTTTTTTTTAAAAAAGGAAAAGAAAGTCTGTACATTTGACATTCAGATGCTAGTTATTACTTGAGACATGATTCTGAAGTGCTGTAATGGTGGTTTTGGTTCCTATGTAACCATCTCCAGACTCTTAAGTTCACCTGACTGGCAAAAGACATTATTTACATGCATAGTAATACAGGTGCTCCGGAGATGCAAATTGTTTTCAATGGTTTTGATGGGATGACCTGTCAACACCAGTAAAAGTCTGTCATTATCATATAAATGCTCCCGCTTGTTTGCATTTGTTTGGCATGTGTTTATTCATCTTCTCCCCTCCCTATCTGCTGTGAGTGCCATACAACAGCAGGTTGGGCCCTAAGAGGAGTCGCTTAAGTCACAAAGTTTAAGTCACTGGTCTCAGGTTCCTACTTCTACCCCTGCCACTTGAAAACGCTGGGTAGATGGAAGGGGATTCTCTAACCCGCGAAACACCCGCCGGTGCAGCTTGCAGACTGTGCTCGGTACATTCATTGGGAACGCGTGCGAGGAGCAGTTATCTGCCTGGGTCTGAACACACAGCACAGCAAAACACCTCTTTGCTTTGCCACGCGTTGCTTATAAACCCCGTCCTCACAGGCAGCCTTACCTGATGTTTAAAAAGGAGTTATAATGCTCATTTATCTTTTCTGGGGGAAAAAAATTCTGTTAATGCAGCCTTTGAATAAGTGCTACCCTGCTCTTTAAATGCTAAAGTTCACTAAAACTCCAGTGATTTATGTGCAGCTTTTGACTGCCAGCACCTGGCAGATGAAGAAACCTACTCAAGCTTCAGTCATAAACAGATAGCATACAATTTAATTTTAATGTGCTCGTTAGTCGTAGCACATTTCAGACATAATTGTGAACGCAACACAAAATTATAGCAAAAAGACAATTTTAATGCTGCTGTAGAAAAAAAGGTTATATGAAGAGTCATATAATGGTGCTTCATTGTCAACAACAAAACAGGGCACAGAGTGCATTACAGTGTCTGTGCTGTTTACATGCCAATATTTTATACATAGATTCTCATATGGTGTCAGCTGTCAGTTACTTCTGCAAATTAACTGCCAAAAATGGAGACGAACAGAATCACTTAGTGTGCTGGTAACCACGGGTTACCTTTCATATGCCTAAAGATAAAGCTGCAGTATGGAATCTTGGGAGAATAATTAGGCAGAACAAAACAGAAAGTTACCAATTGAAATAAAAAGGCATTCTACAATAGGAAATAACAACCAAGAGCGCTTATAAATAAGTAAAAGAGGTTATATCACAGAATGCCTCATAACTTTTTAAGCAAAGTATTACAGTACAAACATTTTAAAGGCTTTATCAATGTTTAGGAAATACAGTACAAGTTTTTCAAATAGATTTAACCCTTTGAGCACTGAGTTTATTTTGAATTTTTTTTTTCTTTTTTTTTTTTTTTTTTTACTAATAAATACCTTTAAAAGTCATGTTGTGCAAAACAGAATGCATGCCAGGAATGCAGTCCGTGGCTTCTGTTTCTTCAGAAGGTTTAAAAAAAAAAACAACCAACCAAATGATAGCAACACTAATAAATATGTATAATTTAAACATGAACCTCTATTAATATAGATGTACTGTATAGCAAAACAAAACAAAACATACTTTGCTTTAAGAATAATGTTTCTGAATAGTTTATAAATGCTATCTGTGGTATCTTTCATCATATAATTTACAATGTTTGGATGTTAAAAGAAAAAAAACATTAGATCTAAAAAATGAAATATACACTATATATAGGTACAGTTTATACCTGCAGCTTATCAGGTACAAACCCCACGGTTGGTAAAAATGCTGAAGAAAAAGAAAATGGCGTTAACCACAATCACATTTTCCATAAGAGATTTTGAAATCTATACAATATATACATCTATGTTTCAATGTGAAAATTATATTTTTAAATTTCAAGGTGTGGGACACCTCTGCATAAATGGAGGTTCATATTAGTAATCAGAACTAAGCTGGTAAGGGTTTAAAAAAACCATATCCGTACATTTTTACCAAATTAATGCAAAAGTGCTTCAAAGTACTCAGAGGGCTAAAGATTATAGGGTGAGAAATACCAGCACACTTAGGTCACATGAAAAAAGTGCACCAGAATTAGTTATAAATGCTTAATTAAACTGTCTGTTAATGCATGCAGCTTGATGCATCAGAGTGATGCACAGCAACTAAATCCAATTTACACAAAGTTCCAAACACTTACCACTGCATTTTAACCTTCATATTTTACCAGTAACAACAGCTGATTATGCACCTCTATTTAAACACTGTACAGTTATACAAAACAGTTCAGCCCAGAGCGACTCTGGAGTTAAAATAAGAACATGTGCCAAGAACTAAACAGTAGCTTTAAGGCGTCTTTGACAGTTTTCCTCAAAGCAAATTACAGTTATTTTAATCAAAAGCAAATGCTACTGCTTCTCTAACTCCGAAACATACAGAAGATGATCCTCTGGTGACTTCCCGTGTGTTTTACTAAGATGAAGTTTAACAGCATGCTTGCTTGCAAAAGTCCTGTTACAAAGTTTGCACTGATAAGAAGTTCCGATATCTTCCTCTGGAGAGGACGTCACCAGTTTTTCCGACGGTGACTTTGCTTGTGCTATCTGATTGTTAATCTGTTCACTGGACAGTTTGGACAAGTCTCTTAACCTGAAACCCAGATGGGATTCAAGATGACTGATATAAGTTGAAGGAGTTCTGATCTGTGAAGCACAGTCATTACAAAAGAACACTGGGTGCCCAGTGTCCAAATTTTTAAGGAACTTAGTTCCCCCCGTCCTTCGGAGCTGGTATTTCACATTGGCTAGCCAGTGGCTAATTGTGGTCATTGAAAGTCCCGTAAACCTGGAAATGTGCATTCTTTCTTGAGGACTCAAGTCTGACATGATGTATTTCCCCTCTGAAGTCTGCCGTAAACTAGCTGCAAACTGGGCCTGCAATATGAGCAAGTGCTGAGGGTTCCAGTTAGACTGACGTCCCTTCCTTTTCTGAGCGGGTGTACTCTCTTCTGGTTCCTCTATTGTGGTACCATCAATGTCAGATTTCTCAGATATGCTGGAAGGTGTGGAAGATTTTGATGTGTGACTTTCTGTCAGGTTCTTCAGCATATCAGATATATCTGACAAGGCATTCTCGCGTAGCGGCGAGTTTGACATGAATGACACGACTGCAGATGTCTTTGCTGTTGTCACTGTAGATGAAGAAGATGCAGAAGATGTCGATGTGGATGACAAAAGCGCTGAACCCAAAGAGCAGCTTTTGTCACTCTTGCCTTTCGTCAAATCTATGGGTTGGTCATTGTTGACATGATAAAAATAACGGTCTAAGTGGTCTGGTTTTTTGGACTGTAGAGGTGGGGTGGCCACTGCAGCCTTTTCCGCCAAACTGTTACTCATTTTAAAAAGCATGCTCATTGGATCCAAAGCAGGCAAAGATGGCTTTGCTGCCTTCCCAAGGTGAATATTCATGACAGATTGCAGTGCACTTAATGGATTCACAAATGGCTGTTCTGGAGGGTGATCAGTAATGATAGCTGTGCTGCTACTTAAAGAGCTTACAATGGACTTAACAGGCTCCTTCCCATTTTCCACAGGTTCTACAGTTGGACTATCCTTGCAACTATCTCTTTGAGGGACTGGGCTGTTCTGCTGGCTTTTAAAGCCACCATCATTGGAGGACTCCATCTTAAGGGGTTCACTGATTTCACTACTGCATGGCGAAGGCGTTGCACGCTTCATTGGGGAAAGTTTTCCTTCAGGCTCTTTCATTTTTTCCTCCACTTTAGCCACCTTCTCAGTGACTTTCTTTACCAATTCTTCCATGGCATGAAAGTTTGTTTTTGGCACAGGTGAGGTCTGACTGCTTGGTGGAGACACCAAGGGCTGGTTTTTAGTTGGTGATACTAATTCATTGTTTCCAAACATAGGTTTTAATGGGGTATTCTTCCCAGATGAACCCAATGACAGCTTCATCATGTTAGGCAGCTGATAGGCAGCATGAATGCTGGGGTAGCCACCCCAGCTTGGTGTGCCATTCTGGGCTTTGTTTATAGCCGATGTAACTGTGTTTTCTAAGGACTTCAATATATCTAATCCCCCCTTAGGGCTTTCTTCTAGGTCATTTTCAGTCAAGTAATGGTATTTTGAGGAGATATCATACTTCTCCTCATCTTCACTTGACTTTTCTTTGTCTTTCATTTTGTCATCAGCAATGCCTCTTTCTTTATCTACTTCTTTTTTTATTTCAACACTTAACTTAGGGGAAACACTAGAAGGTGTATTGGAAGGAGACGTAAAAGTGGTGGCAGCTAGCGGCACAGACTGGACTTTCTCATCTACTAAGGACGTTATTGTTGGCGTTGCTGGGGCTTCTATAATTGGCTTCCCTTTTTTCATGGCAGAGTTAGTGACTTTAATAAAATGTCCTGTCACCATCATGTGAGCCGTGAGTTCCTGCAGAGTGTCATGCGAACTTCCACACTCCATGCACTTCAGAATTTGAGATTTCCTTGCCTCAAAGTGCCAGGCGTAGCTGGCACCATTCTGGTGACCATAGCGATTATTTGGCGTAATGTAAGGATTAGAATTCTTCTGAAGCGCATCGTTGGTATCTGAGATTGTTGCTTTTGGTGTCCCACCTGTGGAGTCTGGAGAGCTTGGAAGTTCAAGCTCCAGTGATGCTTTCTTTCTAGTAGCTGGAATAATTTTTGCTGCTACAGGTGTAACAGGTTCCTTCAGAGGCACTTTTTGGTAGTGTTTTGTTTTGATCATATGAACACTCAAATCCTGAAGAGATTCAAATGAATGACCACAGTACATACACTTTAATACTTTCTGGGCATCTTCTTTCCCTTCCATTTCAAGCAAAGAACGTTTACGAGGTTTGGACCATCTTTTGGGGTTATTGTTATCAGTTTCATGGTTGTCATCTCGATAATGTCCTGTTTCATTCATGTGCACTGTTAATTCTACTAAAGTATCATAGGCTGCACTGCAGTCTTTACAGCGGAATTTACTGGCTCCAGTAAATATAGAGCCATAAAGCTTACTGCTTTGTCTGTACAACTGAACTGTGCTAAAAAGACTCGGTTCAGGAAGAATTCTGCTCTGAGAAACTTGCTGCAGTGTTTTAGCCATAGCAGTCTGGTGCCAGTCAAAGCTGCCACTGCCACAACTGCTGCTGCTGCTGCTACTGCTGCTGCTGCTACCGTTGTTTTTTTCTGAAATTGGCTGGTGAAGGTTCAAATTGAGATTGGACCAGTAGGAATTGGAGAGGAAGTTATTATATACAGCTTTCATTTGTTCTAAACTATCAGATACAGTAGAGTCTTCCAGTGGTATCGAAACCTCCTTGCTCTCTTCCTCATTTTTAATCGAGCTGCTCTCGAAGTCTGCCATGCGGTCACTTGTCTCACTGATATGTGACTCGCTGTCCATTTCATGGCTAGAAAATTCAGCTGCTGGAGAGTTTTGGTAGCTTTGGCAGTTCTTACTGAAGTCTTTTTCTGGACATGTGTATTTTGCTGAAGGCTCCCCATCAACTGCATTTTCATCAGCTTCCACATCTTCTTCTACCAGTGCTGCTGCTTTTAGTTCATCTGAAACGTAGGCTATTATGAAGAAAAGAAAATATAAGTTAGTTTCTGCTGATCATACTTTTGCTTAAGTGTTTTAGCCAAAGAAGTGTACTTATTTGTAAAATTAAACAGTTAAAATCTAGTGTTTCTTCAGAGCAAGAAAAAATCTGCTCTTCAAACATAATTTGCCACCTTATTCTTCTCAAGGGGCAACAGCTTGAAATTAAAACTAAATTTGAAATTAATGAAGCACATTCTGGAGGTGGCATTCATTTCTAAAGTAATAAATTACTTGTATCAACCTCAGAGACAGCAGTTCCTGTCTGTCAATTAATATGTCTTATGCTTCTCCTACCCCTAATGCATTTCTTAACAGACAGATTCACAATTTAAATTAAGTAAGCATTTTTTGCTCATTACAGTTTTGAGACTCAATCTTTAATAAATATAGAGTACAAACATCAAAAATTTCTACAAAGTAAAAAAAATCCCCAGCCACAATAATAAAAAATGAGATTTTTTTAAAAAGTTATCATTATTAGTAGTATCATATTTTAGACAAGGAGACGGAAAAAGCAGGTGACGCAACCTCTTGAAACAACTCACTATGAGCAATTTGGGGATCTTCATTATGGGTGTAACAAATGACCCATTCACTTTTAAACATGCCTTTCTCAACAAGAAAGCCCATGCAGAATTATGTCAGGAGCTAGTTCAAGAAAATTGGTATGCTGTACTCATTCTTGCTGTATAAATATATACAAGACCTTCCAGTGGACCTTACAAATGTCAAAGTGTTTGCTCTTTAGACTACTTTGTCAATATTTACTCAGCATAAGCTACACGGACACCCAACAGGGATCTTTTTCCCCCCTCAAGTAATGCAACTGGTGATGTAAATCTAAGATACTCTTCCTGAATAGGATAGTTGGGAACTGACAGCAAAGATTTTATTTTTTTTTTCCATAGTGCTTCTGTGTACATATTCTACATATACTAAGTCTATCTAAGTTTTTCCTTCAGGCAAGAAAACTGAAAACATTAAGAGAGGGATCATTCACTGATCAAAATTATCTGTTTCTATATAATGCATTCATTTACAGCTAAGCAAGAAAGCAAAACCAGAACATGACTGTTCTGTATTAAGCGGAATTTAAAATTTACTTGCAGTCTTTCACAAATACAATTATAAACTTTGACCCAAAAAAAGCATTTCTAGTAGACTATGGTTGAAGACACTTGCCTTCTGACCTTCTCTGCAACACACCTGGAATGCGTGGGTATCTGTATCTTAAACACACTGAATAATCTATAGCTTGTTTATCAGGCAATAGTGCAGAGAACTAATAATTTACACCCCAAAAGACCTACTTTAACCAACAGAGGGAAAAATGTACAACAGTATAGTAGGTATCACATATACAGTATTGAATCTTGTAAACTCCTTTCAGGGAAAATATGCTTAAATGTTATCAGAAAACCACGAGAGACAAAACAACTGTTAAAGTAACAATGAAACCAGGCTTTTAGTTTCACATGGAGTATTTCTTCGTTCAGTTAGGTAATACAAAATATTCACTACTTTTCTTTCACATAGATGAATGGCAGCGAAACTTCGTCCAAGCTTGTAAAGTTAAAATCTGATCTTCAGAATAGAAGTTAAACCTCCGAGAGCACAAATATATTGCACAAGAGCAAAACGTAACAGCAATTAGGTATTTCAGCTCACATAATTTCAATGCAGAAAACTCATGCAGCAAGGGTCCTATTTTTTAAATTTGGGAAAAAATTGTTTGAAAGAGTTATGTTAAAAACTTCATTATAAGATGCTTCAAAGATGCTGATACAAAGGTCAAACTTTAACAAGTATGTACTCGAATGAAACAGAGCTGTGCTGGTTTGCTCTATTTTATGCTTTTTCAAAATATTTTGAAAAAATATTCTTTCTTATGTATATTACAGTCATGTGGGCAATTTGTACTAAGGATCAGCGCCTATCCTGCAAATACTTGCAACAGAACCATTACAAAGAATCCAAGGTGGATTTCATTCAATACCTTCATTCCCCCGTGGATGGTACAGACTGTTTCTCATCTTAATTATTTGTTCCACCGCACTTCTGAACTCTATGAAAAACTTTAGCAAAGGAGACCAAAGCAGCTCAAATTACTTTCTAAAGCTGAAAAATTTTAAATAACTACTGATAATGTGTAAACAACTGGCTATCAACTATTCCTCTCACAGCCACGCCATATCCTAGTGGTATGAATAAGGGAGGATGGAAGGAAGGAATGACAGCATGAAACCTATGATTTGGAAGAAAATGTACCCTTTTTCTTTTCCACCTTGTGGAAACATTTTTTCTTCTACAACTCCCATTCCTTTGCCTCTGTGGTGAAACAGAAGAATCATTTCCTTTTTATCAGGTAAAGAAAATCCAAGGTTATTGCCACACTGCCTACATTATAAAGATCTCATTCCCACCTGTGGGCTGAGATGGCACACCAAAGCACTCCAGAAGTGCACCTGTCCTTTGCTCTTTTTGTCCACCGAGTGCTAGTGTGAGCATGAGCATTCCCACCACATCACACAGCAAAGCCTGGGCTCCATCCCTGCACACCACAGCAAGTCCTCCTGAGGACCAGTGCTCACCAACACAAACAGGGATCACAGAATCAAGCCCCTAATTAGTGTGCTTTTCTTTACATTTTTATTTCTCTTACTGCTGAAATCTTATGAATTTTGTTTGGACTGAAACACTTGTATTGTCACATTCACAGTTTTTTTAGAGTGACTTTTGCATTAGGAAAAACCTCCAGCATGTGGCTCATTTAAATGTAAATCTATTTACCTTTCATGCTTTCTTTGCCCTTTTCACCAAGTATCAAGCATATTTGCGTGTTAACCAGGAACTGCCTCCTCTATAGCTGTTCTCCTTCCTAAGCTCAAGTTGCGAAGCCAACCTGTGACATCAGTCTTTGACTCAGAAATGCTGGAGATGAGGCACAAAGGACAGTATGGAATTTAACCTGGCAATCTGCAACTTTGATAAATTGACAGTTTGAACAACTCCTGCTCTTTTCCCTGCACAAGGGAAAGGATGGATGAAACATGACATTACCCCCAACTTCCTCAACTAAAGATTTATGCAAGAGATGAGGATGCTCAAGGAAGTTTCTTAGCCTAAGACTTAAAACACCATCCTAAACTGGAGTTTATGCCAGTAGTTTGTAATTCCTTATTCCAAGGGCTGGTCACCTAATCCTTATATTGCCTTCAGGGCAATATAAGTCAACCCAACAAGTCCCGGACCAACGTGTGATGGGAAACTCGGGGCAGACTCAAGGGTTTTGCAATACCACTACAGGTAGCTTTACTGTGGTTGACGTGTTTTCTCCTCAGAAAACCCAACTAAACTGTTAGCAGCGTGTGGGACAGGAGAGAGGGTTAAAGCCAAGGTTCAGTCCCATACTAGCAAGGGTACAGGATTCAATGCAGGTACTCATGGAAAGGAGTCCATCCGAGGCCAAGGGAATCTCTGATCCCTCCCTGCCCCACCAGATTTCACTCAGGGAGAAAAATTATCTATATTCTGAGTACAGAGGAAGGTAAGAGCTTCACTGCAACAGAAAGAAGGAGGCCTATAGCAGAGAAAGTTCTTGTTTCGTTAAGTGCATACAGGAAAAGCAAAGAGACTGAGAATAAAATCAGGAGGTGATGGTAAAAAAAAATTTTCACTGAGATTCACTGCCTGGTGGAGAGATTGTCTTTAAGAAGCACTGTCTCGAACCCACTGATACTCAGCCGTATCCTTCTTATTAAAAAATAAAAAAATAAAAAAAATTGTAGTTTGAAACAGCAGGGCATCTGTAAAACTGTTCAATGCTTTGACAGTAAAGTCTGAGGAAAAAAACCAAAACAATAAAGGCAATTCTAATGGCAGAAGACGTTAAGAAGAATGGACATGAGAGGAATTAGCTGGTTCTGGGGTTTTTGTTTTTTTCAGAGCAGTAGAAGAAAAACAATTACAGTTCTCAAAAAAGTTTTTAGTTTACATCTCACAGGGCACCATAACCCACATGAAACTGCCTCGAAGTTGAGCAATGGTGTCACTACGACATAATACTTGACAAAAAATGGAAAGCAGTTCCCTGGTGTGGCCCTCAGTTTCTGGAGAAGCTGAGGGTATCAAAGCAATTCAGAAACGTATTGCAGGTGCAGCCACAGAGAGGTCAAGAACAGACAGCTCCCTCATTAAAATTTGTTAAAATTATTAACTAAACTGGTAGGTAATAATGAAATTAACACATTTGATACCACTACATAACAGTAAGCTGTGATATAATGCAATTAATTTCCACACAGGAGGGAATTACCTTCATAACTGAGCTATGGATCATTTCTTTGCCAGTGGAAATAAACTGTGATCCATCACTGCCCGAAATGATCTACATATTGCATATACACTAATGAACTCATATACCTGGCTCTACACAGACACCAGAGATCTGTACAAGAGCAGATAAACAGCACCAGTTCACTACGTTTCTGCAGCTAAACCAGCTGTTACTCTACTGATGTCCTGGGCCAAACTCAACAATCTTCTGAGATGCCCACCAGCACAGCAGCTACCAGCTTGGACCTCAACTGCTAGAGCTCCTCTTCAGCAGAAAGAGGAAAAGCATCACATGGTTTTCATCCTCTCCGTGACAGCATCCACGGTCAGACACATACCTTGAGTTAGTTTGAAAATATAAAAGGCATTAAAGGCCTATTTTACTGTTCTCCAAGACCCAATTCATTGCAGAATTCTTCTCTTATTTCCTGAAAAATGCATCTGAGACCATATATTTTGTCTTGGATCTATCCAAATATTTCACTTCAATACTTTTGAAATGTCTTGTTCTAATTATGTTTTTTTTGCCAAGACTTTTTCCTTTTATTTTAATTAGCTTACTGGGGTACATTTAAACTAGTATATAAACTCTTTGCTTGAAAAAGTACCAAAACATTCAAATATTCTTCTCAC